TAACAGGCGACGGAATGCTACGCCCAGGTCATTCCAGGATCCTTATCAAACAATGAGATGAACAACAAGATGGGGCAGCTTCGATGATTCGTCAGATATATATCTCGAAAATGGAGCGCACATTACTACATAGGCCGATGTCAGACTTTGCGAATCGCGCGAATCGCTAGCATCCGCGGTCGCGTTGCGGTACCAGCCGATTGAGTGATTCACTGGCCGCGACGCGACCGCAGACGCTAGCGAATCGCGCGATTCGCAGTCTACAATCGCTAAGTAACGAATTTGGCTCCGCCCTTCAGGGCGCGCTTGTCAACATAGGCTCTAAAGTAACGGACGAGAGTCACATTGTCCGCGTTTAAGCAACATGACGAAAAAAAAACTGACAGATGTTATCAATGAAAGGCGCTATATGCAATATAATTGGGGAGGCTTTGAGCAGACACTCGCAGAAAACATAAAATGGCCACTCACCCTAGAGTCTCTCCTCTCCCGTCTAAGGCTCACTCTCCTTTTTCACGAAAAGGACACGCTTTACGCAGTTTTGAGTGCAATGCTACCACAATGCCCCCATATCTTGGGATAGCGCTATGAAAAGATACTAGTGCTGGTGATAGAGCAGTTCCCGTAGCTCGTCAATACCCATGAATGCTCTCCCTTTTTTGAAAACTCTCACGGTCAAGCAGCCGAAATTTGGATAACTAACAGTACCTTGGCTCTTAAGCGAGCTTACCTTTTTCTCATTTTTGATAACATAGCTAGAAGAAATCCCTGATATCGCTAGTCCAACTAATTTGCGCATAGCTACCAGTAGAAAGAATTCAAGGGCAGTTAATAGCAAATTTGCTCCGACTACATAATGCGCCTGGTGCGCTCTGCCAGCATTTCCTTCGAATACAAGTGTGACACTCGTTTTCGGGGAGTCAAACTCCCCTTTTAGATAAGCTTCTAGCCAATTCTGAAATTTTGACCTAACCTCGAAAATTTGGGCAGTCACTTACTCACCTTATCCACCAATCCATTACAAAAGGCTGGCACTGGGATGGAAAAAACTTCTGAACATACTCCAGGCAAGACAAAAATGGTGTCTTACTTGCCTGCCTGCCTGTTTTCAAGTACAACCCTTTCTCTCTTCTCCCCCTCCGTTCGTATCTGGTCAACTCTAAAACTGGAGTTTGAGGAGTGATCCCATCATTGCTCCTCTTTTTCTCAACTAGTTCATGACCTCAGGTTTGATCAAAACTCGTCTTTAGGGTAGTTTGATCCCCTGAATACGAATATCGTACCTACTTGCCACGGAAAAGCATAGCACCTGCACTACGGGCACCATGGGCACTCACAGGCAAGTAGTGCTAAATTAAGAGGATCTGCTTGCAAACTCTTCGTAGATGTAGCGTCGGGCGACAGTTGAAGAAATAACGGATTCAGAAAAGCTTCTCAGCTATGTTGAAAAAAATAGGAAGACGGAAGGCACCAAACCCGCAATCCCGTGCTTGATAGGCACGGGGTCGCTATCATCTGCCTATCAAAGCTCACCTCAGTAATTCTTCGTGACGTTTATAATGGTGTCTGCAGTGAGGCGTGACGTGCGGCAAAGAAAACTTTCTGTAACTCTTTCAAAGAAGAGTTAAGCAGATAATGTACGCAATTTGAGCTCAGGCTCCCAAGATGAGTATGATGGCACCTCATTTCATTTGGCCGAGTTGGCCTATTGCCCTTCCTAGTAAGAAGTAGTGACTACAATTACTAGGTTACAGAACCAAGGGGTGCGAGCTCCCATAAGTATCCAAAGATGAGATCTACGGAGGGAAAAGTGGATAGCAACTGAAGTGTGACCTCGGCGAGGCGATTCTACAATTGGAAGTAAGATTACATGTATCTAAACAATTAAACTATTGTAGAATGGCGAGCTGGCCCATTGCACAATGAAGGCGTAAAGTAAATTGATGAAGAGGATCGAAAGATCCTGGAGGTGAGAAGGACGACCGACCTGGATAATGATGCAGTGGCGAATGACGGCCAAAGTTGCCGCGCGATTCGATGACGAAGGCAACCAAGACCCTGTGCCGATCAAGATTGGCGCGAAGGGTAAATACGCATTTCATCCCGCCTTTTGTTAGAGTTGCCTTGGAGCACCTTCACTTGAGGTCGTGGAGCAAGTTATGACAAAGGCACTTCCCAACAAATACTGCCCATGTCTTGAAATCACACCGGTCCACAGACTGCCACGCCATTGTCGATGAAGGAAAGTACATAGAAGGCTGTTCTCGATGCAGCCGTCCCTCAAACGCTGCTTGTTACAGTATCAGGAAAACCGTGAAAAATGCCTGTTGACCGCAATCTTTGAAGAATAAGAATAAAAAATAAATAGATAAATAAATAAGAATCTTCGAAGAAGGAGTAAGAGAAGACGGGAGGAGGTTTTTTCGTTTTCTTTTGAGATGTCCTTTTGAGGTGTCGCATCAGAATCTCAGAATTTCCATGGAAGCGATCTCCAGGAGTTTCCTGAAATAAAAATTATAAAAATAAATATTTTGTCAATGATGGTTATTGGTTTATTCAATCTTAAATTGAGATCAAATTGAGGATAAAAACTGATTTGAATCTTTTCTTAAGAGGCGGAAAACTTTTTCTACATCCGTGTCAATTTTGTGGCCTCCACCCACTGAGACACGACTGCAGCCGCCTCTTTGCATTTTCGCCTATTTGCTTTTTCGACAATG